CCCCAATCCGGCTCTTTACCGTATTAAACGGAGCTGTTCGCGAAATTGACGTTAATGCCGACTCTTCAGTCGGGTCTCACCGGCGCGCCGCCGTCGTCGCTGACACTACGACGCGGCGAAAGCTCGGCGGATTTTATGCGCCTGCTGAAAGCGCCTCTCTTTTCGAGTTACGAGCTCTTTCCGCGCTTTCCAGGGTAGGAGACAGGTCGCGCGCAATTTCGGCTCCGTGTCGGAGCTTTATCTATACCTGAAACTTTCGTTATAGAGGACTTGTATAACTTGGAAAAGCGTGGCGCTCTTCCCGAGGACGCATGTTCGCGCAAACCTTCGCCGGGGCCCTCAGCGAGCGGCGGGACAGGGTAAGAAAAATATTTGGCAGCAATTTGCGAACACTCCTCCGGTCCACAAGCGTGTACATCGCCTTGCTTATTACATTGTCTCGCGGTCTCAGGAGGATATCTTCGGGACAGGATACGTCTCTTCCCTACTTCTTCTTCGTCCTCTACTACTTTCTCCCTCACTTTCCCCCTTGTTCTCCTCTCTCTTTCTCTCTCTATTTCTCCCACTCGTTCTTCCTTCTGTGATATTTATTCAGCAATCTCGCGTGGAGCTTGTGTAGCGAGCAAGTTAAGGACAGTAATTCGACGCTCCGCTCGTTTTCATTTCGTTTAATAAAACATACGGCCGGCTCGCTAACGCGAGCGAACGAGCGGGGAGGTTATTTCATTCATCAAGACACGTCCTTTTTCGGTTTTCCAGAGTAGTCTTTGCAGAACCGTCGCGAGTTGTTCCGCCCGAATGTCGCGACTTGCGAGTCCTTAACGTGTCCTCTCTGGGAACGAGCCGGACGAATTATCGTCGACGGCGAAACCAGACACGATTAACGAATACCTCGGCGAGGTTCTACGAACGTCGTCGCGCGCTGCGAGCGCGTTGCGCGAAAAATCTTCCTCGACGACGCTTCGCAATTCCGCCCTGCAATTCGCGAAGAAATTAGATCGCGTTATGTCAAAGTCGCGGGAAAAGAATAACGGAGGCAAAAGCAGAGATAGTTACGACCGCGCGATTTTTTCCCCGTGAAACGGTAAGCCGCAGGATTAAATAAAAGACAAGAGTGGATGGTGAATTTTACTGTTTGTCTTAAGGAGGGAAGAGAGAAAGAGGGGGGAATCTAATTTTCGACGAATTTCAATTCGAGAGATACTAAATTCTCCGGATTATGCGTCACTTTTCTTCTCGCGTCAACCGTCAAACGAGTGACACGTAGGTTTGACAGTTACGGATACCGGCGAGCGCTCACGTCTTTTCGAGAAATAGCGGGAAGTGGTTCGATCATCGTCTCATTAATATCACTCTCCGTATCAATCAATTAACGTACAATGTACGCAGGTATGTGCGCGCGCGCGATCGACGCGCATTCAGCCTGACGTTGCGCGTACCCAGAAACTGGCCGATTAATCCTCCATCAATCAAGAGCATGATTGATTAAAGATCGACCAGTTTTTCTCCCCGACGAACGGCCGGAATAGATCGTCGATCGGTGTCGGTGTCGGTGTGTGTGTGTGTGTGTATGAGAATCGACGAATCGGCAGCCCGGCTCCAATTGGACGACGCACGTCGGAAGCGTAACGAACGCTTCCAGTCCGGGGAGCCTCATCGGCATCACCTTCTCTTTCCTCCCGGTCGATCTTACCGGTCAATCTTACCACCGCTTCGCTGATCGCCGTTACGACGGTGCGTGCGGCGGTTACGACGAGCGGTAGCCGAAAATCGCATCGCTCGGCCGCTTAATTAATACCGCCGGAGATACGCGAGGAGGGTCGATATGCCAAGTGCGTGGGATACACCCGCCGACTATGAAGCATATCCCGCCATTTACCGCGTACAGCGTAGCAAACCGCGCATACTCTACGACGTGCAGCATATTACTACCTCCCCGCATTCCTTCGTGCGCGCATCTCCCTCTCGAAATTGTTAATTTTCCCCCGAGAGAGAGAGAGAGAGAGACTTCCGTCTCGCGGCAGACCGCGCGCGCGCTCTCCCCCTGCCGCAATTAAAGCAAGAGATTAATTCAAATGCGAATTTCGCGATTAAGAAATTCAAACGCCTCTCGCCCCTTCCCTCCCCCCTCGGGATTCGCGGTTTCGCCAAACTTTCTCACGAGTCATTAGAGCGATCTTCGGATTAATTTGCTGAACAACAAGGGANGGGGGGGGGGGGGGGGGGGGGACTGACGTTTGTCTGTCCGGAGCCGGCTGGCGCCGAGTTGTCAGCCGCAAAAGTACCCCCTGGAAGAAAAGTTCGCGCGGACACCGGCGATTCATCTGCTCGCTTCTCGGGGGAGTTTAACCCGCAACTCCGTAAGCCCCTTGATACTCGCCGTAGGACATCTCGGATGATCGACGAGGAGCCGGGAAGAGGGAGCGTTACCTTAACAGGTAGCTCCCAGAGCGATGAGAACGCGCGCACGCTGCTCGAAATCGCAAGATGCTATTAAGTCGTGTACTCACGGGAGGATCGCGTTCAAGCCGCGTCCGGCCCGCCGCTGAGGCTCGCACGAGGACCCGGGTTGAACAGGTGCACCTCCCCCCGGTCTCTCCGGTGGCCCGCGAATTCAAAGACTCTCATTCAGCGAGCGAGCCGGAGAAGCCTCCGAAAGATACGCACATGTGTCGCGAGGAAGCATCGTGCGCGACGTGTCCGAAAGGAAGATAGAAGGCGGAAGGAGGCTGGTCTTCTTCTTCGCTCAGGCCGACGGTCGGCTTCGATCAGGTCGTTCCTCGCTCGAGCGCAACGGCGTCCACCGCGTTTCCTTCAGCCCGACGCAGCGCACATGTCCCGCGGCGCTCTTCCGCAGGCATCCCCGACGGTCATGCCCCGGTCGCGTCCCCCACTAGCACTCCCGCGGGATCCGTCGCCACGAGGAGGACGCTCCGGAACAGCACGCGACGATTCAGGATCGAGTTAAGGACGTAAGAGAGAGAGAGAGAGAGAGCGAAGACGACACACGCCGCACGGGATGGATCGGAGCGGATCCCGAACCGTTTCACGCTCGGTATCGAACTGACTGAGCAGCCAGCTCTGGCCAGCTCACTCCTACTCTCGCGGGACGCGACGCCGCGTTATCACGACGAAGAGCGGCGGGCGAGCGCGAGTCCGTCCCGGGGAAGTCGAAAGCAGCGCGCGCGCCAGCAGCACCAGAGGGTAGGCCAGATCACCCCTACCCACCCTGGCGCCCAGAGAGCGAAAGGGAGAGAGAGAGGGTGAGAGAGAGCAAGGGAGAGAATGACGCGATGGGGGAGGGAGAGAGGGGAGAGCGAGAAGGGGGAGAGAGGCTCACCATCGCCGCAAACTTTTCCCCGGCCCCGTCGTCCTACATCCGAATGATCTCTCTCTCTCTCTCTCTCTCTCCTCCCTCTCGCTCTGCCTTTCGTCCGTTCGCTCACTGGGACAAGCCGCGGATCGGAATTGAAACCGACTTGATTGGGTGCCGTCGCCCGTGAGAAATGGGACATGCATCGGCGGTCCCGTGTGGTCAGCGTGCGTCCCTTCGAGGTCTCTCTCGTCCCTCGGATTGGTCCATCGAATTCGGACTCTTCTTAAGTACACCGACCGACTTGTTTCACTCCTTTGCGTACATTCGCTTGCGGTCTCGCGCAATCTCGAAAAGACTTTCAGGATTTTAGAGGACGCTGATGCGCGCGGGGATTTACTCGGCGGAGGAATGCGCGCGCGCGGACAGGAATACGATATCTCTGCCATGTGTTTATATTCTGTGTGTGTGTGTGTGTGTGTGTGTTGTAAGATTATGCTTTTTTTGCAAATTATATTCCCGTCACGTTTATATTTGGACTTTTGTGCGCACATCCCGGTGATATATGGAGCGTGCATTGCACCGGCACAGGCGCTTGTGATTTTCATATCTCCTCCTTGAAGAAGTCGTGTCTCGGTTTCATGAACTTTTATCTTATCTTAGGTTTCTGTCTCAGGTGCCTCCTCTTTCAGCAGAATAATGATTACAATGAAAGTAATGTCTCGTATCTATTTATTATCTTCCTTTTCTTAGTAACCTCTATCCAAACTACACGCACACACACACACATATACACACGCACGCACGCACACTTACAATATATTTCCCGCGAATTTGAAGATTGTAGATTATACATTTGTTTACAGAGTACTTTTGTAAAAATATAACAAATCGGTTCTTAACAAAGAAATTGTATCTGATCTAATTTTAGTTCAGTGTGAAAATACAAGTAATTTCACAGTGGGTGAATTCAATTTTAGAATATGAATTTATTTCTTATCCACTATTGACCGCCCGAACAACAAAGAATGTCACTTTGACTTCACTAGAAATAAAAGTTTATCGGGAAGTTATCAAATATGAAATTACAATTTAACATCCTGTGTGCGACTGAACCAAGGCGGAATTATTTCGTCTGTGCTTGCGTCCGCGATTAATTGTTTGCAGGAACGTAACATTAAGAGAAACGAAAGTTGCAAATCCAATCTAGGCCAGGTGATCTCCTCAGCCATGCAAAATCAATAATCAAGGTTGGAAAGTCCAACTGTTAACGTAAGCATGAAAAATTCAGAGAATCGGAACGATTAATCTTCACGAGTAACGTTTAACCCGTCTATACGACGGAATAAAGGCGGAGTACGAACGAAGTACGAGCGAAGGAGAGAATATAGACCTCGCTAGAGTATACGCTAAGTACACTAGAGTTACGAACAACCTCAAGCCAGAAGTGCGAAATAACCCGGCTAAATTATGGCAAGTCAAAGTCAAGTTAGTCTACGTAAATTAAAGCGCTCCGTAAATTTGACGGAAAAAATTACTTCGTTAGAATATTCATGTTTGGGCGTTCGTTATATACAGCGTAAGAACTAACGACTCCTTTTATATGCCGCACGAACGTCACTCAATGTAACCTACGATGTCTTATTAAGTTTCAACCGAGACAAATTATTAATTAATGCCAGCTTTAGACGGTTATCTATTTAACTTGAGATGGAATTCGGGACAGAATTTCATTTGCGATTTAATGTGTCGCGTATTGTAAGAAATAAGTGAGAATTTACAAATTGTAAAAGCTGTAATCTGCAAATATTTCGACTTACTTCTACATTATACGCCAGTTATATTCTATGTTTTTATTGGGATATAATTTCGACAGATCTATAAGGCAGAATTATTGTTGTTCAAGCGTCTTTTCACAAAGACGTGCTCTGTATTCTGCCGCGAATTGCGGGTCCTCCGAAAAGTGGGATTTACATAAAAAGTTTCCAATTTTTAGTGAAATTTAAGTATTGCGGAGTGATCGAGAGCTCGCCTCGTTCGCTGAAATAACGCGCGCGACGATTGCCTCCTCCGTCAACGTAGACACGCGAGAACCGATTTAATAGAGCTCTGTGTAACTTTTCTCTCCCCGTCTCCGTTGCAGGCCCCTCCATTTGCCGAGAATGTCTGACGAATTGGAATTGAGTCTGACAATCTGATTGGGCGCTATCGGCCGTGTGAGACAAAACGTGCGCCAGCTCCGGTGCGTGTAATGTATATTTGGAGCGGCGGGATTTGAAGTCGCGAGTGATAACATTTAAGTAAATCGTGCCGAGAAGATCCGGGATTTGGGGAGAAACGTGCGCGAACTTAACCTCTGTATGAAAAATTTCCCCAGTCGGGGAAATCTCTCCCGAGATTTAATCTGCATCCGCCGTTCGCTCTGTCATGGCGAAAGTTTAAATTGATATTTGTCGTCTTACATCTCCGTATCGTTGAAATATGACGAAATGAGGTATACGAAGGTGGATCCGCGCTCAGTCTGCCTCGGAGCTGTCGCGACGCTCGTTTTGAAGGACTAAAATATCTCTACACGCGAGAAATCTAGTTTCTACTGCGCACGAAATCTCCGTAGCAACGGCTTCGTCGTTCCCAACTTTTCAGTCGTTTCCCATTTGCGTTCCTGCCGATCGCTCCACGTCGAACTTTGTCGTCGATAATTCACAGTTCGGTCGACTGTATTAGTATTACGCACCTCGTAAATTGCGGCCGCCTATATAACGGTATTTTCGTCACAGGTGGCAATATATTTCACACAGTGTCAAGTGCACGTGGACGCTGCTTTTGTTTAAAACACACGAGAGACGATTTAGTTTATTATTCTCCACCCGACGCGATCGTGCGTTGTGACGTGACGATTGTGTAACTGTTATTGTGTCGTTACATTTGCGATTGCGTTGAGGACTGAACGAAACGTCGATCGTTCCGGCGTATAAAAAAAAGAGAACGTACCCTCGTGAAATTTTTGCCCGGTAATGCGAATCCTTTGGGGTAACAGCGAGTTTTTAAAGCTCAAGTGGCATGAGACTGGATAAAAATGTGACGCGCGAGGGTCTCGATCCATCTTAGTTCCACGTGACAAATTTTTCGGGCCCGAGAGTACGTATGTACAAAAACGGATTTAATACGGATTTTCTCTCTTCTTATATTCCCCCCATCCGCCGCTCCCTCCTATCAATCCTTACATTCGGTATTCCTCGTTTACCAGAGCATATCGCGAATTGGGATTGAATCCGACGGTGGGATCGGGCTCCGTATGATCGTACAAAATAAAATGTGTCCAGGGAATACGGGCGCGGCTCAGTGAGGGCGGAGAGACCGCATTTCTGAATATCGGATGTGGTCCTTGAATAAATCATCAAGGCTCACTGATCGGAAATAACTGTTGTTTCTGTGCGGAATGTTCGTATCGCGAACGCTTAACGCATGCAAAGCGCGACATTATTCAGGACGAAATTCTATTTGTAATTTTACGCATTATGTGCGGAACATTTGAAGTTACGTACACATATATTTTATTTAAATAAAATGTCTACGGAAACTTACATGTATAAACAGAGAAATGTATTATTTTATAAATATATATGTATAAATAAATAAACATGTATGCATTTATAAATATAATTTTGATTCGTCAGGCGTATTCTCGCTGATAAAACGTCACCCCGAATTCCGTCATGAAATACAGATCGCCCCAAAAATGTGTTTAAACATCTTTTTGATGTATAAAATCTCTCGAAATTATATATAAAAATCATCTGGCTGATAGGATTTACAGAATCAGACAAAAACCTCGACAATCGCAGATAGAAAATTAATTGTTTCTCGAGAATACTCAGCTTTACATAAACTAGAAATTATATTAATGATAAATTAAAGGGAAGTAGCAGAGTAACTAAGAAAAAAAAATTTATAAACAGAAAAACTAAACTATTAAAACGAGGTTTTTTTATTTTATATAGAATACTATATGCTTTCTAGTATTAGATCAAAACGCCTTATAGGATAGTTTGGAAACAAATATGACATGATCATTTTAAAGAAAAAGCTCAAATCTTGTGTTTTACGTCTTTCCCGTAGCGGAAAGATTTGTGCATTTTTAAGAAAGTTCCAGCCGTTTGAAGACAAACCTATGATTTGCGTAAAAAATTTCAGGTTGTTTTTGCTGATAAAACTAGATAACTTGAACAAAAGATCCTACTGCTAACTTAAAAATCTTAGTCTTGGAGGACAAGATAAAATAATGTAGAAAATGCTGTCAAAAGCAGATCTAAATCGGTCGAATAGTTTAAGATATCGTGTCCATCGATTTTGAAATTGTCTCGAAGAAAACGCGTTGAAAATTTTAACTTGGAATCATATGAAAAATAATAAAGCAATCGATTCTTCCTTTTAATCAGTTATTCCTGGCCCATATAGTTCACCTCTCACCTCAGTAGAAGCGTCTACTGCTGCTGACTTTAGATTCTACGTAGATTCCTCCTCTCAGCGAACCTCTCAAGCGCGCTTCTCTCAGTTTTTTCGATGCATTCTGTAACCTCGATCTCGCAAAAATCTTGTGCGGTGCTACATTCACTTTGATTAATCCTAATACTTGCAGGTAATTATAGTGCTGTTATAAAGTATTTTTAGATTCATACGCCATATATAATTACATTATGCAGGCTTTCATTGTTGTTTCGAAAGAAGTCTTTAAACGTATCGCTTTAACAAGTCATGGTTGCTTAAATCCGTGTAGATTAGCTTAATTACAGTAGCAATTGTAGGTCAT